GGAATTTATAGGGAATTTTTAGGGAAGTTTTTGGGAATTAAGGGAGCAGCAGCAGCGCTGGGGGTCCCCCTCTGCCCCCCTCCCCCCTCCCTCCTGACGCGTTTTCCCGGGAATTTTCATCCCAAACCTTGCCCGAATCCCTCGGGATTTCCCGCGGCCCCTTCCCCACCCCCTCGCTGGCCCAGGGCTGGCGAGCACCGGCGGCTCCTGCTGGTCCAGATCCCCCCCCCAGGACAGGTGAGCCCCTCCAGGTGCCCCTCACCTGGCCAGGTGAGAGAACCTCCCCCCAAACCCCTCCCCGGGCCGGGTTTGGCTTCTCTGTCACCCCTCAGGTATTTCCTGAGCTGTCGCTGTCCCCTCCTGTGTCACCTGCCCTGGGGGGGGGGGGTTGGGGTCACCCCACACAAGAACGGGGAGCGCAGCCGTGAGTACAAAAATATTTCTATTGCTCACCTGCCCTCACCTGCCCGGAGCTCACCTGGGGGGCAGCTCCAGGACAGCCCAGGGCCACCAGGGGCACAGTGGGGGCCACCAAGGGCACAGTGGGGGCCACCAGGGGCAGAGTTGGGGCCACCAAGGGCAGAGCTGGGGCCACCAGGGGCACAGTGGGGGCCACCAAGGGCACAGTGGGGGCCACCAGGGGCAGAGCTGGGGCCACCAAGGGCACAGTGGGGGCCACCAGGGGCACAGTGGGGGCCACCAGGGGCACAGTGGGGGCCATTGAGAGCAGCCAGGGCCACCAGGACCAGAGCTGGGGCCACCAGGGGCTGAGTCGGGGCCACCAGGGGCAGAGCTGGGGCCACCAGGAGCAGAGCTGGGGCCACCAGGAGCAGAGCTGGGGCCACCAGGGGCAGAGCTGGGGCCACCAGGGGCACAGTGGGGGCCACTGAGAGCAGCCAGGGCCACCAGGAGCAGAGTCGGGGCCACCAGGGGCAGAGTTGAGGCCACCAGGGGCAGAGCCGGGGGCTGCCCCACTGCTGGCAGCCAGGACCCCATCCCCAATTCGGGTCCCCACCCTCGGTCTGAGCCCCCCATCCCTGCTCGGGACCCCCATCCTCAGTTTGAGCCCCCCATCCTTGCTCCGGACCCCCATCCCCATCCTGGACCCCCATCCCCGTCCTGGACCCCCAT